GATGATACTCTTTCAGCTGATGCTTTAACCACCAAATGTAGATCTTCAGCTAACTTCAACATTTGGACCCATCTACCGAGAGATATCAATAACTTATTTCTTATATAACTTTCACACAGGGGAACCAGGTGGCTGTAAAGTACATCAAGAACCATGTAGGCTGTAACCTACAGAAGACTTCAATTATCAAAGAGTTTAATCTGGTAAAGTGGCATCAGTTAAACACAAAGGAAAAACCCCTGTTTTATTGATATGTTTGCAGGTCTTTTGTGAATTTATTTTTGTTGTTCATGGAGTGTGTATGTAAATATGTGTGCCTAACCATCTGAACTTCCTCAAGACAGATGAAAGAGATGAAACATGAGAATTTGGTGCAGTTCTTTGGTGTGTGTGTTGAGCCTCCAAATGTATGCCTGGTCATCCAGTACTGCATGAAAGGCAGTCTGAAGGTCAGTGCCACACTCAGGACAGTGGCTGTAATTACAACATTCAGTGTAACTTCAGATGTGACCAATCCCTTATATTGAAGACTTTTCAGAATTAATACAGCATATGGAATCATATTTAAAAAAAACTCAACAATAAACTACTACTGTAAACTAACTAAAAGTTTACCAAATTTAATCTTACTGCAATTTAAAATTGCAGTAAGAATTGAGAAATGGAGCGAGAAAGTCTGCTCACCTCCATCTGTCACTCATTTCTCTGGACCTTCGTTGTTATGTGGTTAAGACTTACAACAGCAGAGGTTGATTATCAACGAAAGTGCTAATTGTATGTGTGGTGCTGTAATGCAATTTATAGTAGTTTTAGTAGTAATGAAGTACAACTAAAATAAAACCTCTTTTTCAAAATACATCCCTACATTTCTGTCATTTGTGGCCTCATTAATATGTGTCTTTGTTGTGTTGTTGTTTTTTTCTTGCAGGATGTTCTAAAGTCTACAGATGTTGAGCTGGAGGCCATGTTCAAACTCTCTTTTGCTTATGACATTGTAAATGTAAGTGTTAGTCAAACTGCTTTAAAATATTTCCAACACCAAGGAAAGACAGTTGTGTTTAGTATAATACAAGAAGCTATTAAAAAAAGTTGACAATAAATACAATTCCATTGCCTATAATGCAGGGAATGGAATTCATTCACAAGAGTAACATGAAATACCATGGGAACCTGAAGCCAACCACATGTCTGGTGGACAGCCGGCTCCAGATCAAACTGTCTGGTTTTGGACTGTGGGAGTTCAAAAAAACCATCGCCACAGCAAAAACCCCCAGTTATGAAGGTCAGTGGTTGAAGTCGCCTGGTGAAACCAAACAGATTTATGAAGTATTTCGTGATGATAATAGCAGTGGTTTTGGTGATCTGTGGTAGAGATGTATTGGACGGCTCCTGAGCTGCTGAGACAACCTGGACTCTTTCATGATGGGACTCCTAAAGGTGATGTCTACAGCTTTGCCATCATCCTGTGGGAACTCGTGGACAACTCCAGGTCTGGACCATTCCATGAAATCAACTTGGAGCCCAAAGGTGCGGAAGAAAATCCCAGCATCAGTGCACCATTATCACTGTATTCTCTTCCAATCAGACTATAATTTCCTAGTCTGGCTTATTCTTTCCTGTAGAGATTATTTCACAGTTGCGAACGCCGTTTCAAGGGCTGCCTCTGCGGCCGATTCTCCCTGATCATCCGTGTGATGACAGCATCAACACACTGATCAAGGCCTGCTGGAGTGAAAACCCTGACCACCGACCACCATTTGGGTCAATACGGAGAAAACTGAAGGAAATCAGTCCAGACAGGTCAGGCTCTGGATTAAAAAGGTCAGACTTTGGATTAAAAACATGCTAACTCATCCAGCAAACACATTCCCTGTGCTACAGTCATGCAAACATATTGGATAATATGGTGGATAAGTTAGAAAAATATGCAAATCACTTGGAGGAGGTGGTGGAGGAGCGGACCAATCAGCTGATGGCAGAGAAGGCCCGAGCGGACAAGCTTCTCTCCAGCATGCTACCAAGGTCTGTCAGATGTCAATGCTGTGTTCACACGTTTTCACTATTCTCTACAGCACTTTCCAAATGTGACTTTGACTGAATCTGATTGTGTGACAATGAAAAACCTAACGTACAATTGTTTCGCTTTATGCGACCGTAGATACATTGCGGAACAGCTGATGGCAGGAAAACTGGTGGAGCCAAAAAGCTACGAAATGGTGACAGTTTTCTTCTCTGACATTGTGGGCTTCACGTCCATGTGCTCTGTTAGCTCTGCGCTGGAGGTGGTCTCCTTCCTCAATGACCTCTACAGTCTTTTTGATGACATCATAAAGATGTACGACGTCTACAAAGTAAGTCAAACCTCCACAGCGCTTGTCTTTCACTGTACTAAGAACGATGCCTTGGAATAAAACTGGATTTGTCATTTGTTAGTAATGTGTGTAATCTACTAGACAGCTTGTTGTCATTTCTTTAAATCAACCAAGATTTCATTAAAAGGAGTTACTATTTTTAACCTGATCTATCTCATCTAATTATTAACATTTGTTGTCTCTCTGACCTCACTAGGTAGAAACCATTGGTGACGCATACATGGTAGCCAGTGGGCTACCAATCAGCAATGACTGCAAACACGCTTTGGAGATATCAACGATGGCTTTGCATTTCCTGAACGCTATCAAGAACTTCAAAATCCGACACATGCCAAAAGAGAGTCTGGCAATCCGTGTTGGCATACACTCAGGTAAAACAGATTTCAAACAATGAAATCAAATTTTAAAATTGAAATAGTTTGTTTTCTTCTCAGACATTAGGACAGTAGTTAAAGGGGACGTGTTGAAATGAAATAACAGACAGAGGTTATTGATCGTTAGCCTAGCTTTCACTCAGCTTGTCTGGCCGTATAACTTAGCACAAAGTTATTGTTTGTGTAAATATAACCAAAGGTTGGACCATCAACAACACACCTACAGATAACAGTAAACCATTGTGAAGCTTGTGTAAAATGTTTGGACTTATTTGATCATGAACTCTTGTAGGTCCAGTGGTGGCAGGAGTGGTGGGCACCACAATGCCCCGCTACTGTCTGTTTGGAGACACAGTCAACATGGCCTCACGCATGGAGAGCAACAGCCTGCGTGAGTCAGCACAAATGTCTACATTAAACTTGTACCCCAAAGTACAAGGTGACCACAGAGTTAAGGACAAACACGAACATCAGAAAAATGAGTACCTTAAATATATCAGCAGGTTACACCATCCACAGTCCACCAGTCCATCTAAGGGCTCAGACTCAGATGTAGGGTCTGTCCTACAGCCTTCCACCATCTGTTTTGGTGTATTAAAGAGGATTATTAGTACTTCAACAAATATTAAAAATGAAAAAAAAGACAATACATCCTACAGTAGAACTCTTTGATTCTTTTTGTGTTCTTGTTTTTCTTTTTCTTTTTTCTTTTTTTGTTGCAGCCATGAAGATTCACATCTCCCAGGCTACTGCTGACATTCTGGTCCAGGCTGGATCATATGAACTGGAAGAAAGAGGTGAAATTGAGATGAAGGTAGGCGACTGCTGAGAACTGATGTGTTCACCAACAAGCAGCAGACCACAGTCAGTGTTTGTGTGTCTGACAGGGTAAAGGCTGCCATAAGACCTACTGGCTGCTGAGCAAAACAGCGTTCAACCCTCCTCCGATATGTCACAGCCCGCCACCTGCCGACTGCCTAAAAGTACCAACTGAGGTGAGGCTAATTCTGGCCACACATATTCAAACTGTTGCTTTACTGCATAGTCTTTCATCTAAAACTGTATTTTTAAAATATTTTTTCCAAGAAACTGGCCGTGGCCAAAGTTCCAGAGAAAAAGAATCCAAAAAGCCTGAGCAAGGCTCACGGGACAGACACCATGATTCCGGTGCACATCTGATGGGAATAGAGTTCACAACAGGAATATCTGTGTCAACGTTAACTCCACCAGCCATGTGAATGATGTCACCAGCATCAACTCAGACTTAGATTAACGTTCATGTGTTTTCTTCACATTTCTTTGTTTGACTGTTCATTTATTTAAAACAATATTTTATTTCAGAACCCCATGCCATCAGGAAAACACAAGACAACGGTTGAAGAGTTCTGTTAGGCAACTGGACATGAGCGTTTCTCAAGAAAGACAAGACAATAAAATGTAACCACAGGAGTGTAATGGTACTGTAACATCTTGTAAAACAAGTATAAAGTTACTTTGATCTGGTCTCTGGGGTATATTCTGCTCTTTGCCCTGTAATCTTGACTTTTGTTCTTTTTCTACTGTAGCAACATGTGCTGTTTGATTCAATTATCTTTGTTTGTTTCTATTGTCACTGCAGTAATGTGTCCTCAGTCAGAGGTGGTAATTATACACACACAGATGAGAAGCAATATTGACATGATGTACTGCTGCAGAAACATGAAATAATTTCAAATGCATTTGTTGTTCACTTTCTTTACCTCCTAGCACTTTGTCCTAGTCACAGTTATATATCTATATATATATATATATATAGTATAAATATGGCCATGAAAATAATGTGTTTTAATCTTTATTACTGTTTCAGAGGAATACATTTATACTACACTGAAGTACAGAGTTAAACATAACATTTATGCTCTTACGGTCATTGCAATAAATACACCAAAACATGATCATTGTTGTTACTACACTATACTGTAATGAGTATTTGTGACCTCCTTATTTTTTAGAAGGATAGTTCTGCCTTATGGAATATTTTCCTGAAGAGCTTTTAAAATATGTGCAACAAAAACATTAAGAGTAAAAAAGGTTTTGTTGTCTTACATTTATTTGAATTCATTTCTGTGAACTCTGTGCATGTGAACCTGATGATTTGAAGCATTGATTAATGTGCCAATTACAATTACACCTGTAAGATTATTACATGATAATGGAGGGGAGGAATGTGATCAAACACTCCCTGAGTCCTGGTTGTCGCTGTTCACAATGTTGGATGTTGTCTTTATGTACAGCGTGACCATATAAATGTGTGTGCTATGATGTGAATTCATTTAGCAGATTGTAACCTGGGATAATCAGGACAGCCAATAGGATGAACAGCGATGTGCCTGTGGAGAAACACAAAAATATAAATCTACACATGCTGAGTATCATTAACACTTGTGTTGGAACAGACCTGCCAAATAAACACAAACGTTTGTGTAGAAAATCCATGCTAAAAATTGGAGTACTGAAATTACTGCATTACATTAATTACCTGGCATATGTCCATTGTTAGCCGCTACGTTTCCTGCTAAAAGAAGGAAGAGTCAGTAATTTAGGGAACAGAAATTTAGTAAGAAATAGTCAACAATTACTGACTGTTGAGTTAGAATAAACACGGTGTGTGCGGGCGACATGTTGGCCTGTACCTTTAACTTGGAACTCAGCAGTAAGAATCCCACCACTTGGTTCTGTTTCTCCTGACAGACTCCTCACAGAGCACGGACTCTTCAGGAAATACAGAAAAATGTAACAACAACCAATAACAGATCTGACCGCGTCCAGTCAACAGACTCTAAACTTTGGCCTAAACTGCTGATAAAGTTTATTACCAGCAAAATCATCACATTTCAATTCATTTCTACTTTCCACATCCAGGATTTGTGCTCATCCCAAGTGCTTTAAAGATGAACTATGACAATGTTTTTACTCACCGGCAGACAGACAAGCCGCTCTCCGTCACAAATGTGAACCTCACAGTGCAGCCACACAGTGGACACCTTCTCCAGCCGCTGGAAACGGAAGGAGTTGAACTTGAACATGGAGCGGCTGTCCTTGGCGTTTTCAAATATAGTCACAGTGTGGTCTGACGGGCAGCTGTTGGAACACAGACACAGATACTGTTTACCTACCAAGAAGCTGCTGTCGTGGTTGGTATTGCTTAAATGTTGTATATGTTCTCATCATTGCACCTGACGCACCTGTTAATGATTAGACTCCACCTCTTCCTGTCTGTGGAGTAAGGCGTAGGCGTCGCCCAGCAGTTGTTAATCACCACTTTGAATCTGGGATTTAAACCGTGCAAACATGTAGCTGTAGAAGCGTCTTTTAACGGTTCATAGTAAATAAAAAATATATATGTTTGTTATGTAACCTGCTGCTCAGTCCTTTCGCTTCAACCCCAATGAAAACCTCCGAGCCAATCTCGGACGTGTCAATGATATAGGGGGCGTCCTTAGCATACAGGAACTTAGAATTCTGGAAAATATACAGTTTATCAGTTTTTGTTTTACCTGAGATGGCATCCATCCTTTTATGGTCATAGTTCAACTTTTTATCCAGACACCTATCTAAAAAAGCAGTGGATTTCACAAGGGTTCCACTGGTGAAAAGTTGAAGTGCGGCCCTACTCACCGTGAACACGTTCATAGACAACTGTGATCTAAAAGTGCCTAAACTCCCGTTGTTCACATAAACTGTAGCCACTCTGGAAGAAGCAGAGGGTTTGGTAAAAACACTGCAGGTCATTGGGTTAGAATGCACACATGGTCCACACAGTCACTGTGGTCGCCTTCTGTCCTGGACTGGAGCTTACCTTTGACTAAAGACTGCATTATTGACCAGGTAGGCTGCTCGGTACATGCAGCTGAAGGTGTAGTTGACTGGTTGGTTTCTGATGGTGAGCGTAGTGTCGTTGGACACTATGGAGTTGTAGAACACATACTTGGGGTCTTTGCCGGGCATGTACTGTGGACAGAAGAAGATAGAATAAAACAATGAGCATGATCAAGCTGTAGCATATTTTAGATCAGCTGCTGCTGCTCACCTCTGACTGTGTTCCACAGTAGGAGTGGTTTTTTGGGGTCAGGTCGGGGATGATGAAGCGATAGAAGCCAGAGCTGTGTATCCCTGTATAGCAGACGCCACCCAGGGATAACTGCTCAATCTCCCAGCCGTAAGGGCATTCTGGGACATTAGCGATGATAGCGTTGGGGAAACAGGATACCATGACGTAGTCTGGAATACACAGACACAGATGTGAAGACCTGTCGTCACTCCGACCACTGCATGTGTCCAACATTTTCCAAAATTGACTTAACAAATGGACCACAACACATGTACATCTTTTATACTCTCAAATTGTTTCTTCACTTTACAGCCTTTTCTGTCTCTGTTACAGACAAATCAGTTGCAGATTTTTCCACAGAATTTCACACAAAGCTTGTATGATGCAACGCACTGTCCACTAGTGCTTGGAATCTAGGGGCCTTTAAGAACCATCCACTCCTTAATGTTTGTAGCACAGGGGTGTTACCTGCTTTCTGTGGAGGGCAGCTCCATGCAACGGGCAATAGCATTAGAAGTGCCTCCAGTAAGGCCATTGTGTGGAGCTGCAGACAGATAAAAAAAACAATCAGACAGAAAATAAAAGGCAAAGTGTCATCTAATATAATAAACCAACATGATTTACCTTGATGTACTTCAGTGCTAAATCAGCAGATCCTCATGGCTCTTGAACAGTCCTCCAGCACCTCAGACTCACATCCGAACATGTTCAGGAGTCATTTTATAGTCTCAGGTAAAGGGGGTCATCATCTTTCCTGATCTTTTTTTCTTCCGTCTCCCCTTTTCCCGCTGGCTGGACTGGTTTAAGAGCTCTATTGTAGAGGTGCTCACAAAAGCCTTCTGTGCTGCTTAGACATTGACTTTCAAATGACCATCTGAATGGACAAGCACACCGGGTGCATGAGTCACCTTGGATGTACCTTTAATTTCTTATCTACATATATTGGCCCACACTGCTGACTATACAACCTAATGAAGACATCTGTGTGTTCAGGCCCTGAAAACTCCAGTCAAAAATCAGTGACGTTGATTTGCTTTTCAAGGACCATGAAAAAGGATAACTCAGTTTATGCAGGACAAATTTACCTTCCGTCAGTTCTTCGTAACGCCAACATTATTTGGTCTCTGAATATGGTTGGATTTTCCCTTTAACGTTGTCCATGTACAGCCTGATGAGGTTTTCATGGTAAAGTCTTTAGACAAATATCCGAGCCAGTTTCTGACAGTAGCATAGATTTCTAGAAACTCTTGGCAGGAAAACAAATTTCCTAAAGTAAAAACCATTTATCATAGCCATTACTATTGCAAATCATTAGAGCCATTGCAAAAGTAAGAGACTGTAATAAATATAAAACATCAACTGTTTTAAACTATATTATAAATGTTGGAGACAGAGCCAACTGTACAAACTCCAGAGAAAACCATTTAGAACAGCGATCAGACGTGTATGGGGACAGACAGCAGCTGATGTCAGCTCTGATAACAGCTGCCATTCTCCATCACGATGATATAAGGTTTCCCACAGTCTAGTGCCATTAAATATCACCTCTGTCCTGACATGTGTTCTCACTGGCCTGTGGACTGAATTTCCTGTGTAAAACCTTCACTTTTAAAGGTGATGACACCAAGTCAATGAGGCTCAGAGTCTTTGTCAAGTTGAATTTGTCAGGAAGTTCAGGGAAACCACCCAACTACAGATTGTTCCATGTTGTCACCAGCTTTTTCAGGCTTTCTGGTCAGTACATGAACTTCACCACAGCCAATAAGCACCTCGCAGAGACTCGGAGACAGGAGCTGTAAAATGATAGCGAGACGCCGGACACTAATGTCTTTCACAGAACAATTCAAGTCACCCAACAAGTGAAGAGGCAAACTTCAGACAATTAGCATTCAAATGGAGCGACTGGGGATTTAGTGGTCCGGGGGAGATACTGATCTGAGGAGGGGGGTCAGGACAAAGGTAACATTACAGCATCCCAACAATCAACAGCCACAGATTCCACCACGTTATGCAACGCTCGTCTGCAGGACCTGAGAAACGTGTTCAGAGGTGATCTGAGTTCATGTGTCGGGTTCTGCCAGGTCCGTGATTCACAGATGGCAACCAGAACATAAGCAGTAAACATTGGTTTTAATTGTTCTCTCTTACACTGTACTTCCCTGACATTACAGTCAAGACTTGATTCATATTTATTTCCATCTGTTTTCTAAACTGACAGGTGGTTACTGAGAGTTACACAATGGCCATTAAATGGAGTTGTGTGGAGGTCAGAAAACAAGCTGGAGAGACTTTCCACAGCTATCCACAGACAACAGTGAGACAGCAGCTGCTGACCTAAATCTAACCACATTATTTTTTAAATTTTCTTTAAAAAAATACACTTTTGAAGATCACTAAGAGGCCGAAAAACTTCTGAAGTTCTGCGGTCACTGGGGATGACCTTTATTGACTGGACTATACCCAAAATGAAGTCAGCCATTTTGGATTTTATCAGAGGCATTGTCAGATAATATCTAATGAACATTTAAATATTCTAATTTTGTTTTGCAAATGATTTTTGTAGAAATTAACTGTACTTAATGTCCTGCATACCTTTTATTCTGAGGTGATGAAGATCAAACCTTTTTCATGGGTGAAGATTTTACTTATGTAAACATATTTCTGGGAAGATCATTCATTTTTTTATATTATATTTATTTGTTTTAATTATTAAATGTATAGTTACTTCCTTCATAATAGGTGCACACCAATATAATTATTTTTCTAGGAAATATATATATATATATATATATATATATATATATATATTGTATCACAAACACACGCACCTTAATTTTCTGTTCAGGTTTATTTATCCAATTCATGTTTTTTTTTTAAATAAATCCCCTTTAAAATGATCAAAATCAATCAAAAATGTATGTGTAAAAATACACGTGATTTATTTTGGAAGAAGTCTTTATTTCATAAAGTGGAGATGGATAAAGATCATAAAATGAAAAACAAATCCATGAAGAAAAAATACTAAATGAAACCAAGCTTATTTCATTAAGCTGCATTAGTGCTTTGGTCAGAATGTACAAAACTCGTATAAAACATTGTTGATAATACAGCATATTTACATTTCTGTATCTACAATATTTACATAGCAATAAATAAGTTCAGGACTGAGGACGAATCAGGGTTTTGGAACTTGACATGTCCAACTCATTTGTTCTGGATGATAGATGAAAGCTCTCCTAGAAGACACAGAGCCTCAGGTCAGCATGATATCAGGTATATTCATGTAGGGATTTGTTCCTTGTCAATACTCACTCTCTTCTGTGATGTGGACTGTTGTCCCGACACAGCAGCCCCTCGTCACACGGACATATCTGGTTGATGCTGAACGCCAGGCCGCCATCGGGCACAAAGCAGCTCTCCCCACGCACCAGACGTCTCTTACACACCTGCTCACCGTGGTGTCGAGCGCAGCACATGGACGCACCACAATCCCTGTCCACTTTACACCTGGCACCTGCAGGAAGTGAACAATTAAGTTTTTGGTTTTTTTATGTTGTATCTCCAACGTGTTTCATGATGTGAAATGTGAACTGATCTTTTCTTTTCTGTACTCGTACCTTCCTGACCGTTGGGAACGCTGCGATGGCACTTCCCAAACATACAACTGAGGCCACGGACGCACTGGGCGTCTCTCCGACAGTACTGGCCCTCCCCCCGTAGGGGCACACACAGACCAAAATGCCGGTCACAGGAGAAACCACGCCCACATGCCCTGTCATGGTCACACACAGCCTGGAAAAAAGTTATAGATATAAGACTTTATAAGACTAAGAAGATCATTTTTAATATAAGGTAAGACGACAACAGGCGTGATTCATCCTCATGACGTCCTAAAGGAACGTCAACAGTAAGTCAAGAAAATCACACACAAACTTATATCCCTTTTGCTTATGCGGAACAGATTTACAATTAACATGCATTAGCCTCTCATAATATGAATGCTCATGGAGCAAACTTCTTTAGCTAACTAGCTAACTTATACAGACATGAATTTTGGCTAACTCTTTTCAAGTTTTGATGTCATTACTTTAGCTGTATTTCTAGACGTCTCACAGTAAACCTGACCTCCATCTGGTTTTAAATCTACAACAAATGTGATGATCACTATGTAAACTTGATTTTCATGACCAATATAACCTTAATTATCGATTATTAGTCTAGAAGAACCTTACCGTGGCTGCTTTGGAGACTTGGGTACTTTCTCTTTGTGCTTTGGCTCCTTCTTTGGGGGGGCTGTGGGGCATGTTCAGCATCCAGGCCCATATACGGCCTTCGGCCCAGGAGATGCAGCATAAGCACAAACAGAGCATCCTCAAATTCCCCAACATTTCCAACGAAAACAAACAGACGCAAAGAAGGACAAATAACTCTCAAGTAAAAACGTCTGTGAGTCAGAACATGAGCAAAGCAGAAACCACTGATCTTCCAGTAAATGTCCTAAAGTGCGTGTGGCTGCCTCCTCTTCCAGTCAGAGCTTTATAGGTTAGTGGGGTCTGGGCCCCCCTTAGCCAACCATCAGGTTGTTTGTTAAAGCAGCAGGGTAGGAGGGGACAATTAGTTGTTAATGGATTAACTAAATTACCCCCCACGGCTGCAAGATAGTGGCAAAATGACCATTCGTGGAGCAGGGAGAAAGCGAGAGATGGGACAGTGAGGGGACAGCGAGGGGACAGTGAGGGGACTGACGACAGCTTCACACAATGGAGCCAAAACAAGCAGCTCCTCTGTGGTTATCTACTCCAGACAAACAAGTGTGGACAAAAGCAGACAAATGCATGACATGTTTCACTGCCCACTGACTGACAGCTGAAGCTACTGTGGGTCCTGGCCCCGACCTCGGCTGCCCTGCTGGCCCCTACCCTATCCCACTTCAGACCCCATGCTGAGAACAATTTGCAATGGTGCACCCTGCAGTCGACCTCATCATCTCATTAAATGTGATTACCATCAGCCATTATTGCTCAGTAGGAGAGGGGGAGAGAGTGGGGGAGACAAGTTGCTTGAGGGAAACAAACAGATTTGTTGCACACATTTTTTCCTCATGCTTCACGCCCCTGAGAAATCAGCCGTGATTCTCTGGTGAAAATGAAAGTCATCACTTTAGTTCCATGAAATCTGAAAATCTCTGAACTCCTAATGTAAAAAATTAAAATATTCTGGTGGGAAAAAAACATCCAGCAGTTTCTGTTCTTTTGTCTTCCATAACACAATCTTTTTGCTTGTTTTCATCTTCTGCAAAACATTCACATATGTGTGAAGCTTCACCTGGCAACTACAGCTGCAACAATGATCTGTGCGTGGTTTTCTTACAGAGCTTAAAGAACAAATCTCAGTCAGTCAACACATGTAGGCCTTTTCAGCCTACATTCCATCTGCACGTCTGTCGCCGTAACTCTGGAGGACGTGTCAATCACACAGAGATGACGCAAACTAATTGTCTACTTTTGTCACCAGTGGCTGGTTTTTCCCGCCACATTACCAAGTTCAAGTGTTAGCATTTGCATCGATGCGTCAAACAGATGTTGTCACATGTTGTCAGCTCAAATCCATAAATGAAAATAACACCATGTCTCTTCTCTCTCTCTGTCAGAACCTCCATTTTACTGTTGGACTCACTGTTCTCGACTGTATCATAAACCAAGAATTGCTTCCTCAATTGGACTCTGGACAGGCCTGTCTTATACCAATAACAGATGTGCAGCACAGTTAAAGCAGATGAAGATTCAGTGCAGGGCAATCAAGCCCCACCAGGTCATCAGCTGCACTCTGTCTAATCAAACACAGAAACCTCACTGCTTCATTTCCATTCAGTCCTGAGGAGCCTGGATGACCATTGGTCATTTACATATCCTGACTGGCAGACAGACAGACAGACAGACAGACAGACAGACAGACAGACAGACAGACAGACAGACAGACAGACAGACAGACAGACAGACAGACAGACAGACAGACAGACAGACAGACAGACAGACAGACAGACAGACAGACAGACAGACAGCACACTGATGGTTGATGTTGATATGGCAGCTATCTCAGCTCCAATCCTTATCAAAACAGCCTAATGCAGACTAATGGTGTAATTGGAGGTCAATTACTAGCACAATAGCAGCAAATGGATCAATTAGCGCTGTGTAAACATTCGTCACTATGCAACTCAGGCTGCTGCGCAGATTAATAATGACCAGCACACTTTGTGAGAGGGAGAAAGAATGGAAAATAATTAAAAGATAATTAAATAAATCTAATGCTTGAAAAAAACCAACTCTTCTCTGCGATGAGGAAACACGATACACTATGAAATACTGTAGATTTCCTGCATAATCTGTGCAAAGCATCTCGGAGTATCTCAGCTGTTCAGTACAGCAGCTGCTAACACAAATCTGAGTCCGTTTTTCTGATTGCGATCTCTGCGTATCTAATACTACAGTGTGACTTTATCCCTGCACTTTGTTATTTATTAACAATGAACAACAGGGACAGACATGTCTCTGCAAGGCCTCCTTTAAAATCCATTATTCTCTTGCTCAATCAAAAACAACCACAGCGTGGGAGTTTGAACATGTAAAAAAAAAAAACTGCAGAAAGATTATTTCCAAGAATTCAAAACGTTTTCGTGCTAATAATATACAGTCTGGTCCAAAGTCATGTAAACAGAAGACATGGCAAAGAAAACAAACGACTGTTTATGTCATTTTGACACATTTCTTTCTCTGCATTAAGCTTGTAAACTACATTTAAATTTTAATCTTTTAACCTTTTTTGTGCATAATCAATTTATCTCACTTTTGTGTATATCATCTTTGAAAAAAAAAACAAAAACTAATTGAAAAACTAATATGTGAAGTGAAGATAAAAATGATAACCCTTTCCTTGGCCAATGTAGTGAAAATATGTCAGACGCCCATCTCCTTCCTTATCACACAAACCCAGTGTGATGTGATAAGATAAGATGGAGGAATGCAACACGTATTCTTGTTCACCGTTCGTTCTAACAGTGAGAGATCCCTGCTGGTACTTAGCCTAAACCAACAGCACAGAGCTGTCTCCAAACACTGCCTTACATGCTCTCCCAGTGTTAATGACTCTGCTAATGACGTCCATAATGAATGTGCTTGCTGCCACAATCAACACTGTTGTGGCTCTCACAATTAGGGACTAACAAAAACAGTGGGCAGGGTGAGGTTTGGTCATTGACGTGGACCTCCACCCCCCGCAGGGAGGTGTGAATAGTAGGAGAACGAGGAGTCTGTCAGCCCACTGCTGAAAATATATTCATGGCTAATGGACAAAAAAAAAAAAACACCAGTAAAGAAAAAGTCACTGACTGTTGTTGTAAACGGTGCCTTGAAAAGTTGAGTCTTATTTTATCACATCTACTGTTGTTTGATAAAGATGTTGCCTTCTGTCAAACACAAACCAAGAAAACATTTAAAACACTGCTGAAGATACTCAGTCAATGGTTATTGTTGTTCTTATTCATTTCATTTATTATTGATTTAATATTATTCATTTCACTTCTTCTAAATCAGAGCGGTTTTATCTGCGGAACTTCACAGTCAAAAACAAAACCAAAAACATTTACATTTCCATCCCAGACATTTTCTTCTGTCCTCCATGGATTTCTCTGAACTTTTCAAAAATGCCTCCCACTCTTCGGTGAACTGAGTGGGAGCTGTAACAACTCACCCTGGACGTTCACAGACCTCAGAGGGAGAACACACAGAGAGGATGGCAAATTGTCAACAACGTTTTACCCTTGTGTCCGGGACAGTGCGGTGCAGTGACGTGCAGTGCAGTGCAGTGCACTGTGTTCCGATGTTCATTTACTCCCAGTAAATCTGAGAAGATTTATTCAGTCATTCATTGAGTGGTAACAGCATGTTCTCCTCTGTAGACCTGTCTCTCTTCTTTTGTAAACACAGAGCTCCAGTCTTTTCAGTCTTGGTGGAAAATACTGAACGCAAATACTGACCGTTGTAAATAAAGATAAAAACTGCTCAATTGTCCCAAGTTCTTCGTTTTACTTCCTGTAGGTGTAACTGCTGGTGGATTTCTCAGAAGGGTAAACAGAAGCGTGGACACAAGTCTGTCTCTCTAAGTCACCTCCACACAGTGGCAGTTATCCCTAGAAAAAAACATTCCTGACTGAAGGTCTTCAATGCGAAAACAGATTGAGATAAAAAATCTAGCGACATTTTCCAGTCCACGGGGAAAACAACTACACTTATCTCATCATTGAAAATAACCCCAATTTTGGCCTAGATGTTTGAGCTGTATTTCTGGTCAGGTTTACATAATGCTCTGTTTCCAATCGGAACAAGGCAGAAGAGTGTGACTCTATGTGTAATGGGAAACAGCCCTGGTCTTCTTTGTGCCAGGAGAAAAAAAAAGAAAACAACAAGAGGGCAAGATGAGAATTTGGAGCAGGGGTCAGTGATGGCCAACAGGAACAGGGTCGATCCAAACGCTTATTCTTATTTTAAAATGATTCAAAGTAAGTCAGCGATGAGACATCTGGAATAAACACGAGGAGAGGAGAACCACGTTTGTGTCTCCTTTTAATTAGCTCCTCAGTCTCCTGAATTCAGCTGTAGCTGTTGTAGCTCTCTATCTGTCACCAAACATTAGTTTCCACAACGTTCCTTCAATAAATGTTGAACCTGAATGCTAACGTTCAGCAATGACTTAAATGTCTGTTACTGTATCTGGAGCTACAAAAAATCCCAGTTGATACACGATGTAATCCACAGCCACCCTGTGATCAATCAGATCAGAAATGGAATCATTCCTCAGCCGTCTGAGGTTGAACCAGTTGACTGGACTGAAGCTAATCCTTGTACTTCCACACTACCATATACCGGAGAAAACAGGAGAAAAGGTGGGGCACTGTGACATCATGTGGACCTCATGTGGACACGTGCAGCCCACATTGCGCGGGGTCTGGATGTGGCCCATATGTGAGCACACATGCTTAGCGACAGCCGCAGCAGCATCAGCAGATTTTGCTAACACAGACGCGCTGACACAAACACAAACAAAGTCTTTTCCTGCTGTGTTTTCCACAGCTCTGTGTTCATTCTGTATGTGTCATAATTTAATCAAAACACCAACACCGTGTCGGGGAAAATGTGCTATCGTAGGATGAAGCAGTGAATGTACGTTTGATGAACCAATTTACATCAATCTACAATGCCAACAGTCAGGGAACTGAAGTCACTCAGGGCAAATTTACCGTGTTACTGGATCCATGAAGAACCGATTCATCATTATATCAGTAGAACAACCAGGACCATCTGATGTGGACCATCACATGATCAAACCTCTGCTGGGCAGCATTTGTCCTACAAGGTCAGAGTGACTTGGAACAAAATAGTCACCCAACATTTTGCCAAACGTGAAACACATGTTTCACTTTTTCCACCGTTAGTTCCTTTAAACTGTACTGTAACTCAAGCTTGTGTGCTAACATTAATTACCAGCGTTTAAGTGAGACCTGTTAGATCGCAGTGACCTTTTTCTTTTACATTCACTGTCAACATGTGGTATCAAGTGTCCAATACACGTGGCCACTGGTTTTAATAAATGTCATTTAAAGGCTGTTACACATCTGTTTAATGTACAAATATATTTGATTTGACCTCTCTGGCAATGTTTCAGCAACAAACCTTATAACCAGCAACTGTGCCTCGAGCCACGTGTGCCTCAAGTTCAGCTTTTTTTGTCTTTGTAGAATATTATGATGAAAACGTTAGTACAGTTGTTACTTAGCAAATGTTTTACTTTGTAACTTACATCTAGGTATTCTATGAATAATGTAGTATTTGGTAAATATTTAAATATTTTGCAGTAAGTATTTGCAATTTGTTGCTAAAGCGTAACAATAAATGTTATTTAGCATTGGTTTAATCTCTTTTAAACTGACATTTATAATTCATAACAGACATTTGGATATCTGTGGGCCTACATACATTTTTGAGGTTTTTCTTACATTTTAAAACATGCCACTATAAAGTCTAAGCAAAGTTAAGCTACAATTCAGAAATATACAAAAATCAGACTTTGTCAAAATGCTAACCAACTTTAAGTGCCTTTTATCTAAGAACAGATACTTATTTTTGTACATGATACTCTTCTCTTCTGAGTCCAAAGACAGTGAATCTGTGATTTGATCCTGTTTCATGACTATCAAGTTGCAGATATTCCTTCCTCTCTGCAGTTGCTTTCTTCAAAATCTCTCATGTTTGGCTCAGTCTTGGCTCACAAACTTGAAGCTAGGACTAATGACCATGGATGTTGAATTAAAGCTGATTCATAGCCTTGGTTCAAACCCACCCAAAGCCACACAACCACCAAAATAAATGAGCTAATACTCCTTCACTGGGCCTTGGTAGAGTGCAGTCACGATGACAAACTTCAACTGGAGCAAACAAATGACACTGAACTGACGACACTGCTTTGACCTATTCTTCAAAAACAACACGGGGAAGTCCGCCTCATAATCACCATTAATGGTTGAACTGGCACGTTTGTTTTGACTCAGCAGGCTTCCACATGGGGGAGACAGGCTCCACCCAACTCTACTCTCTAAATGAAAAAAATACATAAATATTTCCTCTATGGGGAACTCCGAGACAAGTCCTGAGTTGTCTCACAGAGACAGAGACAGAGGAGAGGTGAGGACACACTGAGGGACGCAGAAGTGCCACAAGTGAGGGTGTGGAAGTCATTAGTGGAGTAAAAAAATGAAGGTTTGAGAAAGGGAAGCCTGTGGAGACATTCTGCAACAATTAGACTGTGTCAACGTTTTTCTGACCCTGGACACATCACCGTAGAAGTTACCCTGAGGAACAAACAAGGACATACGCTGAGCAGAGAGGAGGGAGGAAAGAAAACCTCAACTGAGGTGAAGAAAAAGCAGTCGTGTGGGAGAGCAGAGGCGAAAAGAGAGAGCGACGCAAGGCGGAGGATTAGTCAGGAGGAGTGAGGAGCAGAGAGAGAGAGAGAGAGAGAGAGAGAGAGAGAGAGAGAGGAACCAAGGAAAATAATAATACAAAAAAGAATTAGAAGAAGAAGATTGGAGAAATAAAAATTTGGGGGAAGGAGGGTGAAGCCACATCTGGACATGGGGCTCTGTGCTGTTCTCCTCATCTGTCTCACCCAGGCTGAGCTGGGGAGAGTGTGGGCTCAGGAGCGTGAAGGTAAGCAGCAGATACTCACAGGTACTAACAGAGAAGTCTCCAGAAGGTTGACAGAAATCGGACCCAAATTCTACGGCTGTAACTTTGACTGAACAGACAAAAGTGTAAAAACGTTTTTTCTGGACACTTCTCTCAGTAAGTGAAGCCAAACAGGTCCCTGGACAGTTTTCTTAGTCAGTGGGAGGAGGTGAAGGTCTTGTGGTCTGGTCCTGGTATGCAATTACAAATTCTTTCTATTGATAAACGTCTGGTGTTTTAATACTGGAAAAACACAGATCCTGCAGTTCTGCATGTGAATGTGAATGAATGAATGACAGGGACTTCAGGAGTCTGAGCCTGTGGTATTTAATCAGGTCAGTAATGAAAGTACGTAAGAGTGGAGTCTCCACAAGTTTGTTTTTATTTTATTTTAATTGCAATAGTTTTCTAATATTAACTAGTCGTGTCTTTAAGCTGTAATGGTCTGTTCTGTCATTCCACCTGTGTATGTGTTCCCATACATATGTATACAGGCTTGTATGTATTTTTACCCTCCTTGGAGATACATTATTTTTAGCCATCCCTCTTTTCTTTTGCCATCCCTGCTCCTCCTCCTCCTCCTCCTCCTCCTCCGCCTCCCCCGCCTCCTCCATGTACAATCAGTGATGCTCTACTTTCTCTGGCCTCTCCTGAGGAGCCACTTCCACTGATCAGGGGCCGGAATCTGCAGAGGACAACCTGACACACTCTGCACAGACCAGACTCACCGGTAGAAGCCAAAATAAGTGTCAGTTCCCTCAGTTTTCCCTCAGACATTTGGACACAGCCTGATGAGAATGGTGTCAACCAGAAAGTGAGGCATAAACCCTCAGAGAGAGTGGACGTAGGCAGCTGGATAAATGGGGGACATTCAACCAGTAGGGTTTGAACGTGAGACTGACAACTGTTATATTAACCAGATCAGGTGACCATGTATACTCTGGTTCATCATCCTTGAAGGATTTGAATACACAAACACATGTCGTTGATGGAACACATGCTAACCTTCTTATACACAGCACAGAACAGAGAGAAACCAAAGCTGAGCAGAAACCAATTGAAACTTCTAAAACAGCCATCAGCTCTGACTTGAAAGTGTCAACGTCAGGCTCTGAACTTATTCATCCAGTTAATTTGTCTTCTGTTTTCCTCCGAATAAGCTTGTAGATTTAAGATTTTCCAGTCTGTCAGCTGGAGAATTTTATTACTACATCAATCATGACCCCTGCACAGTGCCATGAATCTGACAGGTGAGCCTAGCCTGCAGCTAATCTCTGTGTCACAGCCACAGCCACATACTATTGTAGATTAATTGCACACCATTTGCATCACAGAGGTCAGGATAATCCACAGTGTCTACAGCTCATCCTCAACACAAGGTCAAGGTCCAGCCATGGATTTCACCAGAATGATCAACAGGAAGTATGACTTCATCTCAGATGTATCACACTGAGCCTTCAACAAGAACTGATTTAAATATATTAGCTGATGGTAGGACAAAGCCAATATGATGATGTCACAACTGGAATATCAATCTGTCCACTGGGGTTCACACCTACACCAGTCCAGTGCTTCTCCTACAACACCTCCATGTTCGCTAGGTCACACAGATCCACCCGCTACATGTTGCATCATCATCATCACCATCATCATCATCATCATCATCACCATCATCATCATCATCATCATCATCATCATCACCATCATCATCATCAGCTGCAGCAGCATGACAGCATTAAAGACCAGATGTTTCTCAGTCTGACACAGTATTACAAGATTCATTCTGGCTCTGACAGTGACAGACATTCTTGGCGTCAGATTGTTGCATTATTTGACACCTATTCCATCAGAAGAGACAGCAGTCATTTGAAACTGGTTAACATTTATGGCCTTTTGCCTCTAGGCGTCACATGAAATCATATTTGAATGTACTGCGTACTTCCGTCACATGTGCCGTCCATACAGAGTTTAATCATCATCATTGTCAGAAACAAAGAGCTGCGTCCAACTCAGTCCCACATTGGTCAGTGGATGAGGATTAGCTGTAGTTGAAGACAAATTACGTTGCATTTCACAGTCGAAAATAAAATCAAATTTATTTTATTTCATTGAACAGATGTTAAACGTCATGACTTCAGTCCGTCAGTTAAGACACCATTTCTTAGGAATTCTAATTTTCAAAAAAGTGGAGATGTGGATTTAAAAAAAAAGGAAAGAAAAAAAAGAAAAAAGTTTGATATAATTTAGGGGTTATAAAAGAACAATAAATATGTTTTATTACTAAAGAGATAAAGCTGCTACACTTTCAGCCAGGGAAATAAAATAAAACAACATTTTCTATTTGAAACACGTGGTTTACAACAGGTGGAACTGCAACAGAACTTAGAGTAAAACTAATAACACCCTAATTTGATTTGATCAGTAGAAAATTTGTTCAGGCTTGTTATGGTACAATAGCGGTTGGAGACAAACAGAGTGCTGGTGCAGCAATATTTGAACATGTCCTTGGGTATACAGAATATATAGTCCATTTAGTCATTACTAAATCAGGTCTCTGATGAATCTAGAGGATACAAATATTTGCATGACTGACTTTTCTTTCCTGTCTAAATAAGTAACTGGACTTGAAAATGTTTGCATTTAAATGAAAGTATTCCTTTATAGAGGAATAACCAATGTGGATCACTGAAAACATGGGTAAAGGCTAATGTGCAAAGTCTGCTGACAAACTGAAACAATCAACAGTTCCAGATTGAAATCCAACTCAGCTCCGGCACCACTTGACTCAAACTGATTAGAAACTAGTTTGATTCCTGCCCATGACGGTCCACATTTATCTATTTCTATTCTGATTCTCATCAGCCCAGCTGCTAATGTTTGGGACTGTGTGTTGTAGTAACTGCTGAGCGAGGACCTGAATGACGTCCTTCCACGTCAGGTCTATAAAACCGCCGCATGCAACTGCAATGACAAACCTCTCATGGATTTCTACTGATTATTGTTCTTTCGCTGATTTCTTTTGCCCAAAAATGCGTCCAAAAAACTCAGCTGTTTCCAACGATGTGCCCAGTGCAACACAGAACAGAAAGCAGAACTGCTGCAGGGTGAAACGACTGTTTGTACGCTAGGATTTAATCACCTCCTCCCAGCTGTGTTTGGATGGTTCACTCTCCCTAATGCATGCTATCTGTTTCTTTTAAGTGCAGATGTTGGCCTTTTTTCTTGCTGGGCTGACGGATAATTCTATTATCTTTTTCCATGATCACGTCCACGTCTTAGTTGACATGTCCGTTTTCCAGCTGCAGGGAAATACAGTTTTCAATGTGTACGTATTTATAGTGTACTGGCGGATTAAGACATGATACATATATGAAAGGATAGCTAAGAAAAAAAACAAACATTGCAATCGTTTAAAAAGGAACAGGAACACAGATTACTGTGAGTGGGTGAAGGAATAGAAAAACTGTATCTGTATCTGTATACCCACGGAACGGCTCAGATGACTTTGTCCTAGATCAGCGAGACAACCTACACACTACATGTCAAAAATGGTTGCTGCAGTGCAGAAAAAGCAGAGAATTACAGTTTTTCAGCAATCGTGAGAGCTAAATTTATATATGTATATATATGTGTGTATGTTCTTTCTAGCAGATGAACTAATGCTGAAGTAACTGGCTTTGATCAAATTCAGGTCAACAGGCAAGAAATAGTGGATTAAAAAGGTAGAGAGGAATTCTAAATTTAGAAAACTCCTTTCGACACATGTAAATGTTAGCACTCCATCCAGCTGCTATTATTGGAGATATTTGTTGCATCTCTCATCATCTGCTCACTGGAACTTATTTCAAAGCAATTATTAGCAACATTTTATTGTGCAACAGTTTGCAGTGCAGCCCTGTACACACAAACACACACACATGTGCCTCCCAGACATGATGCTGCTGATACTGAGGTCAGCTCTACTGCAGTGTCTGTGGAGAGCCCAACCCAAGATGAACTTTGTAGCCTTGTTTTGTTGGAAGTTCATCCAGACTCTAATGCAGACAGTTTAGACAAGAGTGGGTACGGTCCAGGAAAGAGAACAACATCAGCACGGCCCCGGGAAGTTTTGGAAACAAAACCTAACAAAGTGCAGAAAGGGTGGACACGGCGCTGAAGGACTTGATGTTCACTGATGAGTTGCCTCCTTGCTCTAACTCTGCACAGCTCTTTCTTGACTCTTTTCTCTACGTCTTGACTTTTTGTCTGGGCTGTTTTGTGATGACGGTGATGAGTTCTGTCAATCTGACCCAATTAGGAGCCTCTTGTTCTAAAGCTGTGGAAATAACTTCCTCTGAACCACAATCAAACGAGAGCCCTCATTAGAGACGCCTCCCCTGTGTGTGCCATACCCTCTGTTTCTTTGCCTTGTCCCATTTTGTCTCTATGTTTATTTCCTTATTCATGCATTTTACCGCTGCCTGAGAAGTCCATCTTTTAGGACATTGTGCTGCCATAAGAATTCCTCTTGGTCCAAAAGGTCCATGTAACTGACCAAAGAAATGCAGTAGATCATTTTTTTAACAATCACTCATCAATATAGTTCCTCTTTCCCAGGCCTGCAGGGGGTGCTAAGTCCATATTGAAAAGTCCTCATTACAACTAGTTACAACAGCATTGTTTCATGAAAACTAATGAACAATTTTTTTTATTTGTTTTTCATCTCCTACTCTACTATCGTAAACGTATTCGGCGGATGCAGTTTTTCAACAGTACAACAGGCTGTGGCAGTACTGAGCAACCTAACCTTGGTTTGTTGATGTAGGTCAAACTCTGACGACATCTCGCTCTGAACTTTTTAGCCTAATTTTGTTGAAAAATTATTGTTGAACATTTCTTTCCAAATACCAAGGATAATTAATAAACTAACCTGTTCAGACTGTTCTGATGTTAGGATATTTATAAAACTTTAGAAAGTAGTGAAAACGTTAAATAACTGCAGTCCCTACTACTACCTTATTTCAGCAGCATAGGATGATAAACATGGATGAGATAGTACTATGTATATTGAATTTGACACAAATCTGGAGATGCAAAGTTCCTGGTCTATTGTAAAGGGAGATGTAGCAAGGAAAAATATTTTTAATTTCAGAAATTGTTTTATTTGTGTTTTTCCCATAATTCATTTAAAACAGCAATGTTGTTTTGGAACTTCATTGTTTTATACAAAGTCTGCAGATTTTTTTAGGAATAGTCTGTCAACATGGATGTAAAGAAATGGGGTCCCATCTAGAAACATGGGAGTGCTGATAAAAAGTAGTTGAACCACCATGTTAGAGAATGAAAAGCAGCTGTAATCTGTGGATGGTGGAACTTGGCTCACCCTGCATTATACTCCATCCTGGAGGTGTTGAATGGTGTGAGGTCAAGGCCTTTATGCTGGCTTATCAAGTTCAATGACGTGAAACCAGTGAACATTTTCAGACTGCAACAGTTGAAATGGATTCTGTGGCAAAGCCTTAAACAAATGGACTCCGAAGGTCATAAACAAACAAGTCAAGACTAGAATAAAAAGAAAAGGATCCAGAGTTGTTACATATTTTGGCCACATGTTGTAAACACAATTTTAAACCTAAGCGGCTGTGAGGGAGGTCCAAACCTCAGAACGACTCATGCAGTTCCTTCTTTCAAGATGTTCATGCTGCTACAGAAGAGCTGACTACAGCAAAACTCAAATACACGATAATAAAACAGAAGGAGAGATATGAGTACACACCAACACTTCAAAGTTTGTATCATGTTTCTCAGTTTGGTAACAACAAGCAGATACACAGCAACGTTCAAGAGTCAGTGCTGCACCAAAAAAAAAGGGAGAGACATAAGAGCGCTGTGTTAGAAGACGGTTAAATAACATTAAAAGATGGTTCAATATAACTTATATCTATGCTTTTAAATATTTAAAAAAAGATAAATGTTATGTTTTTGCTGATAAGTTGAGACTATCCTGAACCAAAACACAATCAATAAAAGATAAGCCATGACTCCGACATGACTTTAAAAAAAGATATGTTTAGCTGAGTTTGACATCTGCTTGCTGGAGTTTATTCACGTGTGTGTGTGTGTGTGTGTGTGTGTGTGTTGACACTCTTCTGTCACCATAATGCCTCCCTTGTTCTAGATGGAGTGAGTCGATCCTCTCCGTGCACACATCCTGCGGCTCCATACAGTCTTCCTGGGATCATCAGGGACCAGCACGCCCCGCACAAACACAGAGAAGTTCGCAACGCACAGAGTGAAGGTGGCGTTGACATCAGCATGCTGCCTGAAGACATAACACGTATATTGGTAAGATTCAGAAGTATCTGCTGCAGGTAGCTGCTGTAGTTCTTCTCGCCACAGTTGCTGTTCATCAGCTCTTAGGCCTAGAACTAAACTTTAAACTGAAGCTTCTAGATTTGTGCATTGACAACACAGAGGAATAACAAATTAACTAAAAACCATCATAACAACTACGCTGCTGGCACAACAACCAGGAGCAACGTGGGCTATGTCATCTAAAAGGTGATTATCAACTGGCGGCCCACGGGCCAAATCTAGCCCTCAGCTATTATTTCATTTTATTTGAGTGCTCAGCGTCCAAGATTACTTCACCAGAAACATCTGGCCCTCCAATAAATATAGTTGGTGACCCCTGGTCTGGAACTGAACTCTCAACTCTCTGGCAAAAGGAGACTCAGCAAACCAAGACCCTTCTATCTGAAGCCTCTGTTTTTCTTTCACAGTGCTAAGAAAGTATGCAAATATATGAGGCTAATATTTCCACAGTTCCAACTGATCTATGAGTCAGTCCAGGAAATATAGCCCCATATTGGCCAATGTATTTGGTAATGGCTTGTATTCATTAGTAAAGACGTACGGAACCATGTTCTAAAGACAGTGTTCATAACCACTTCTCCATGAAACTGCTGCTGCAGCATTGGATTTAATGTGTGTGTTGCACAATGGACACACGGCTTGATCTTGTTATTTTGGGGAAGAAAAAGCTCTATATTCCGGCTCCTGAAACATTTTACAGGTCTCAGATCTCGGGAGATTTATTGAATGTCATTAATGGTAAAAATATATCGTAGCAAACCACTTTAATGCCTTAGCTCTTGGCTCCTGTTTGTGGGTTTGTGTAATATAGTTTTTTGCAGGTTTGTCTCTCCCTTAAATAAGAAACGATAACATTTAAAACTAAATACATTTTGTTGTGTTTTTTTTTCTCCTCCTACAACTGAAATTGGAAACAGACAAGATCGTAGCTCTGCCAACTTACAGTGTTTGTTTAAGCAAAGCCGTGCATGAGCATGTGCATGTGTGCATGCTCATGAATGACTCACTTGGACACCATCACAAATAGCTGTGTTCTGTTCTGCTGCTTTCTGAGGCCTGGTCCCATTTTTCTCTATCCTCCATCTCTTTTCCAAAGGAAATCTCTTCAATAAGTCAGTCAGCTGTGAGGAACATTTGTATGACTGCTCTCACCTCCCCTCTAAACCCCCCCCCCCAAGAAAAGATAGGCTGGTAACAGACAGTAAAGATTGGGAGATAAGAACTGGGTCACTGTCTGTATATGGAGCAGCTGGGAGAGCTGCATTTAACTGCTCTACTTACTGAGCTCAAACCAAGGCCCAGAACCATTGCTCTCTGTCACCCTGAACTGTAGTGTACATTAATAACGCCATCAACATTGAACCGTTCGAAGACACAGGCACTGGTTGTCAATGCGATTGTAATGTGTAAACAGCTCCCCCAAGTGGAACTTTAGGACAAAGTCACTCAACATTAACCTACTCCAGTACTTCTCAAATAGTGGGGCGCGGTGAGGTGCCAGGGGAGGGGAGGGTGGATATTCCAATGGAATATGGCATGCTGGACTTAAGTGTACCACTGCTGTAATGCGTGAATGATAACAAACATCCAGTCACTGTAAGTATGATTCACTACAGTGGAGGAATCATGATTATGATTCTCCTTTTTCTGCCAGGACACACACAGGTACTACAGATGGGAGAGTTTTGGACCTACAGACAGACACACTGATGACCTGTGGATAGACCTGGACAGCCTGCACAAGAGCCAAGTCCGAATCCATGGCTTACTGTCCAACGCTCATCGACAGGCAGCAGTGAGAAGGACACACAGACGCACACGCACACTCGTATAGTATATTGATTTATTTAACAGGCCAGCATGTCATTTGTTTACTTTCTTCAGAGGGTTGCACTTTCTTTTGATTTCCCTTTCTATGGACACTACCTGAGACAAATAATCGTCGCAACTGGAGGTAAGTCTTTTTTTTTCTGATGGAAAAAGTCTGAATTTCTGATGTCTTTAAAACAACACAGCTAATTAATTTAAATAAGCAATGTGAGCAAACACCCAAAATGTCCTTTGTTGCCCCTGTGCCCCTCCAGGATTCATCTTCATGGGTGAGGTCACTCACCGAATGCTGACTGCCACTCAGTACGTTGCCCCTCTCATGGCCAACTTTGACCCCAGTTTTTCTCAAAACTCAACAGTCAGATACTCAGACAATGGTAAATGGGAGATCCTCTGGAATGTCGGTTGGATTTTGGGAGCTTTTGTGTATCTTTTTCAGTATCAAGTCCGTCCTCTCTTACTCTGCTCAGGTAATCTATTTGTGGTGCAGTGGGACAATGTACGGTTGAAGGACCGAGAGGCTGAAGGAGCATTTACCTTCCAGGCAGCCCTTCACCAAAATGGGACCATTACATTTGGCTACAGAGACGTAAGACATTGACCTCCACCGGACCGACGGCACCTTCAGCATCACTGAATTAACTACTGCTGTGTACAAACTGCTGGTTGACCAAAACTGACCAACTTGTCCACTTCAGGTCCCTGTCTCGGTTGAGAAAATGAACTCCACTGAACATCCTGTCAAAGTTGGACTATCTGATGCCTTCATGGCCCTGCTGTCCTCTTCTCAGCCCTCAGGTCAGAACTCCAGAAATATCAGCTAACTCTTATTAGCATTTATATTTACTTTAAAACCGATAGTAGTTGAGTGTAGCATAGCATAGCATAGCATAGCATAGCATAGTAGAGTAGAGTATAGTAAAGTATAGTATAGTATAGTACAGAAGTATTACATTTATATTCCATTTTCAACATTTGTTTGGACCGTATTAAAATACAAACACCTTGTATTTTATCTATCTGTATTTTTCTGAAGATGAAGCAAACCGACGTACCATCTATGAGTACCACCGGGTGGAGATCAACATATCAAAGATTGTTAGCCAATCTGCATTTGAGTTCACGCCTCTACCCAGCAAGTATTCTTATAAACTGGACTCTGTATTTGACTATGTTGTTATAACGATGTGTCTAACTCCAGCGCTTTGTGTATCACGTTCTTCCAGCTTGTCTCCAACATAAATCCTGTGAACTCTGTCTAACATCAAACTTGACAACCGGCTGTGGCTGGTGCAACACCCTCCAACGGTAGGCTACAGTAAGATTCTACAATTCGTCTCACAGTCAAGCTGTGGAATTGCTCGTCTTATTCAGGTTTTCATTTTTGAATCCAGATGTTCTGATGGGATCGACCGGCACAGACAAGAGTGGTTAGATTACAATTGTCCTGAAGAGGTGAGACGGACTCCTCATGTCCACACCACAAGTATTACAGTGTCAAATGTCTGTTTGTGATTGATTCCTGTTTCCACTCAGGCCAAAGGCACCTGTGAAGACTTTAACCCAGAGCTAACTGACGGGTCGATGAGCTCTTTCAATATTTCTTTCCCAACGTCCTCAGCAGCACTTGAAGGTCAGCCAGTCACACAAGGTAATTTTTTTTTTTTCACAGTAGGCGCCTAACGCAGCCGGAAAACACAGTCAAGAGGAACAGAAATATATTATACATTAACTGTGTTGTAAAGTTCTATGAATAAAGTGTAATGTGTGAAACAGCCTGTATGATCTACCTTTCTGTATCAGTGGATATAAATTACAACAAAGTCTAAAGGTTTCCACTGCAGACTGACAAAAGTCATCACACACGATATGTCTTCAAAGCCAGTGTCTGTGTCTGTGGACTCTCCTTCCAGATCTACAGACTGGTCCACCAAATCACAAGGTCATAACGGAGAACACAGCCATCATTGCAGGAGTTGTGGCCGCGCTGGTTCTGCTGGTGGCTCTGACCCTACTGGCCGTCTACTACATCAACACACACCCTACAGTTGCTCCGCCGTTCTACCTCATGCAGGTACCTCAACCAGCTCCACCACACACTGATTGGCGTCAATCAGTAAAAACACACCTCTCGTGTAAACAGCAAACTCTGCTATGTGGGATGTGTTCTTTCTGACTTTAATCAAGTGCTGTCTGTTGTCTGTTGTCTGTAGCGACGAACCAATAACTACTGGCCCTCTATGAAGTTCCGCAACCAGGGCTGCCACTCCAGTTATGCTGAAGTTGAGCTCGGAGGTTATGAAAAGGAAGGATTCATCGAAGCGGAGCAGTGTTGTTGAAGGTCACGGATTGTAGGAATCAGTCAGAAGATGAATGGACACCATCTTAGAGACGGTGATGGTACAACAAAGTGGACGGACACGGACAACCATAAACACGAGATGCCACTACTTTGACCGTGGAGGCTGGACAGTGTTTACTGTAACTGCTCTTGTAGCTCTTGCCAGCTTTCTCTATGTACTTTCCTCTTTGTCATCACACACACAGGCGAGCAGCTGTTCAATGGCAGTGTTGGACGTTCTGAGAGGAAGCTGACTGTCAGTGTCCAGCCATGATGACATTCAACTGTAAAAACCCATGTATTCAAACGTCAGGGAACAAATCAAACTAGCCTTCATACTGCAAACTAATGTACAGCTCCACCTAACCATGTGTCTTCTGTTTATTTCCCCTTTAAGTTAGTTCATGTTGTTTATTAATTCTATGCGCACAGTGACTGGTTCATCAGATATTATACGACACATATTTAGTGATATAATTGTTGATTGTTTCTGAACGTTTAGAGAAATGCAATTTTAGACACATCAGGACATTTTGATTCTTTCTGGGGGTTTCTTCCACTTTCATGTGTTTTAATAAAAGCTGGTGGTGCGTGTTGATGATGGCTATTAGAAAATTGTTTTCTAAACTGTTTTCTCTTAATAAGATTATTATAATGTTACTCAGTTAAAACATTGGTAAAACTTTGATAACTGGTCAAGTAAATACATGTTTCTGCAAAATAACTGCATTCATTATTGTTTTAAATAAACTTTCTCTGGTTTTCTTACTGTCTTACATGACATTCCATTGGCCTCAGAGTACTCTTTATCAACAAAAATAAAAAATAATGTCCATATGTCTTCGGGCAAAATTGGTGTTTGAGATTATCCAATGAACCAACCATTTAAGTAAAGTCAAATCTGTGGGTCGACTGACCTAGTTTAACTTATACAAATAGCTGAATAAATGTTTATTTATTAGGAATATTACAGTAATACTTGATTGATGGTAACAGATAAATAATTATTAGTTACTGAACAAGGGTAGCTATTGTTACTGCAGATGTAATTCCATATTGAATTTTGGATGGTAAATAACGCCAACAATACAAACAAAAGAATCATCAGTGGTAAATTAAGATGAGGTTGTACATGCCACTGCCACATGGTGGAGCCATTTTTCGGCAATAAACTGTGTTTATTGCAGTGACCGAATATAAAGACAAACCGCATAGCTAAAGCAAACAAGATAGTCATACAGATGTTTTGTGTGTGTAGTATAAGGATAAGTATATGGACAAAAACAATAAAAAAAAAGAGGGGGCACCCGGATTTGAACCGGGGACCTCTTGATCTGCAGTCAAATGCTCTACCACTGAGCTATACCCCCGATGATGTTCGAGGACGACTTTACGCTACGTATCTGTTCTATAATCATTTGCAAACCTGTTTTTCACGTGGAAGAAACAGGTCTGACAAACAACACAAAATCAACACAACGCACGGCCACGTTGCATGCAGGGGGCCGCAAAGCAAAGCAATGCAGGCAGATTTCCTGTCTGAATCCATAACCAAACAACTGACCAGGGCAATAACAAATCATGTGGTCAGGTTTGAACAAACTATGAGCTACGATCATCTGCGGAAATCTGAGGTAACTCACCTTTCGACTGAAAGCTACAACTTTTCTCTATATATCCATGGCAACTTTGACCTAACTCAAAAGCAAGGGTCGCTTTAATGAACGTCACTCGCGTGCAAATTAGTAAAGACAGCACTTGTTTTATCAAGATATTTGATTAAAGATGAAATGTTATTAAGAAGCTTCTTATATGTTCTCTATGAATTTCTGTTTTTATTTTTATTTTTTCTTATTTATTTAAACGGAATCTACAAATTCACATTAATAATTTAATTTACGTAATTTCCTCTCCCTGTTGTGCGCATGCGTAGCAATTGTACCGGAAAGGTACGCTCTTGTTTGATCGTCATCCAGTGTGTGGACGTTACGAGGGGAAAAATAACGTGACACAAACAAACTTTTTACGTGTAAACTACATAATGAAGCAGGTTTATGTGATTGTTCAGAAAGTGATGCTTCACCCTCCAACATTTATATTTGTCAACAAATAACTAGGCTGTGTGAACAGCAGACGTATATATTTATGTATAGCCTATGTGATAAACCTTTAGTAATAATAATATCACACCATTTCATATGTTAATATGTAAACTATCAAGTGAAATATGTTTTTCACAGTAAGATACTTACAGTAAGATACCTAATATTTCAGAATCAGAGAATTCTTGGGGAACACAACTTTGGATTATTACAATGAGAACCAAAGTTTAGTCAAAGTCAGCAAACTCAGAAGAACTATTTTTTCTATTAACTCCCAACTACATATATAGATATCTTCCCTGACACTCTTTATCCATTCCTTAAAACTAATTTAAGGCATTCCGCAAGAGTAACAAAGATGTTTGATGTATCTGCTTAGTTAAGTGATATTGATTTTAGACAATAGAAAATATACTATACAAAGTGTAAAAAACAAGTCACTGCATCTTCTGTTTATTTGTGTCGTTTCCACAGTTTGCACAGCGTCTGTCTGAAACACGACCAGGAAAGATGAAGAGGCGGGCGCTGTGGAAGGTCATGGAGTGAAACCAACACGTTAGGAGACCTCAGCACACTGGACGAGGATTTTTAGGTAAAGAGCCACTTGGTTTTATCTCTGCTGCTTCACTCACCTCCTTTTAACCCAGTGATTTTCCATTGACCTCCTCTATACAGCTTAACTAGCAGCAGTCTGGAGAAGGTGTATGTATGCGTATATGTATGCATGCATGCGCGTATGTATGCATGTGTATATGTATATACAGTATGTATGGATCTATATGAATATAGACCCATACACACACACACACACTCACACACTCACCCTGACAGTGACCCAACATATTCTTTAAGAAGAATCAACACTTTATTCAAAATACAAAATTTAGCACTACAGAAAACTACAGTAATACTGTTGGTTGACAAATATTCCGTTTCCCGTCTCTTGACGTAGTAGTGCTACATACATTGTTTTTCTCCCATGATACTAACACTGTCAATACTGACATTTTAACCAAACAAATATACATATTATTAAAAAGCCTTTGTTCTGACAATGTGTGATGTACTGCAGTTAACATCTAAACATGTCATTAATGACTATGGACAACAGAGTCATTGGACCTGCCAGGCAGCAGCACGAGGGGTTAGAATACAGTCACAGGAGAAAATAGTAAAATTTAAATAGAGTTAAAAAGATGAAAAATAGACCGATCACCTGGTGCTTAGTGGACAGCTTGTTCTCAGTAGGTTTGCACCGTGTAGTCAGTCACTTTTACATGTAAATCCACTGCTTCAGTGAACGTAAATCTATCTTTAAACCAAACCCAGTTAAGGTAGAGTTTGTGAGGACTGTCCTCGTGTCCACTGTTGTCCTTCTGTAAGGTCTTCAAATCAAAGTGGTCACCAAACACATCTGTTAATTGTCTACTCTTTCACAAGTCAGTGTTGTTTAACTGAACTCTGTGTATTCATATCACTTCCTGTGCTGCTTCTGAGGATTTGGTAAGAGGTTCAACTGGAGCTGAAGGAAGACATTCTTTTTGCTGTGGCTTAGTAAGAGTTTTTCCTCTTTAGCGTGTCCTCCTTTCACTTTAATCTCTCTAAGGCCTGTGGATAGTACTTGAGAAATATTCTCAGGGCAATCTCGTAGGTGTCTCCCTGAGGTTTGGTGGGATAGCGTCTGCTGTTGTAAACAAATCCTTTTTCCACCTGAAACACTGCCTGGTTGAAGGTGTCCTGCTTAAATGGTCGTCCACTGTCCAGACACTCAACCAGCATGTGAACAAAAAGCCCCCAGCGCTGGGCGTAGTAGTCCTCCATGAGGCCTCCCCACTCTTTACTGGCATAGTCCAGGATCTCACCACTGGGGCCCCACAGTGTCAGCTGGTTTCTGGCATTTATGTCATAAAGCTGGGCCTCCCCTTCATCCAGTGCTTGGGACCGTGCCTGCTCCAGCCATGTCCCCAGCAGGAAATTGCGATCACTATTCAGCAAACGACTGAGCTCAGGCAGGAGGTCATAGATCAGCACGCCGCCTGCCGCCAATAGCTCTGAGATCTTTTGTTTCTGAAAGGCTCCGACAATGTCCTGGTAAAAGGACGTGGTCAGCACTTGTAGAGCCTGACGAGTCACGTCAACAAGGTCGTATCGAAAGGTTTCTCTGGACATGAGAGCAGGAGCCGCCTCCACAATCAGTTTCCAGGCTTTGAACAAATCTGCCGGGTCGTACCACAGACTTGTGTTCATGTGGACTGACGGCCGGCGCACCAGTGGACTGTGGTTGTGGTTCTTGTAATGTGGTATGGTGCAGTTATAGACGCTCCTGAAGAGCAGCGTCCAAGCAGCACTCAGGTTCTCCAGAGTGCTGCCATACCGACGCATCGCGTACAACGTAGCCCACTTGGACAAGTTGACTGGCTCTTTGCGCCAGGCTAATTCACTCATCAACTCATAGACCACTGGATTCTGCCCAATGCCCTCAGGAGCTATGCCCAAGCCCACCAGCGTAGAGTTGGGGAACTGGATGGCCTTAAAAGGCCCAGAGTTGATGCTGTCCACTGTGCCAAATAAACCACTGTTACCACCAAAGTTGTGCAGCATGCACCAGATGAATGGCTGCCCATAGAAGGACTCAGTGGAAGAGAACATCGGCTCCGTTTCTGCAAACAGGTCCAGCACGATCATTCGTCCGAGGGGTACTCCATGTAGCAGGGCCCGAATCTGGGCTGGTTTCCAGAACGTTGCATTATTGATGAACAACCAGCCTTGCATCAGCCAAACAGCTTGAGGATCAACTGAGTAGAAAAAGAAGAAGATTTAACTTTAGGGTAAGAATGAACAGTAAACCGTAGGAAGTCAGAGTTCTTAGGTCTCAGTCTAGACACCTACCTGCAGTCATCGATGAAAAGACGGAGCTGCTGACGGCAGATAGATAAGCCGGGTCGGAGGATGGAGGATTCATCTCGTTGAACGTGTCTGTGTTGTAAATGTGATCTGTCCCAAAATGTTTCATCACCAGGGACAGGAAGAGGGAACCGATCTGGAGAAACAGTGGGTCCCGGGGGTCTAAGATATAGGAGCAGGAGAAGCTGCAGTTGAAATGAGACCAAGGAGCCAGTCTGGTTATATTGGCATCAGGATAGAGTCTGGAAAACAAGGAACATTTCAGTCATGGTTCTCTAACCCTTCGCTCATTCATCTTCTACCACCTCATTCTTTAAAGCAGGTCCACTGTCCACACAGAAGGACTGTACAAAGTTTGGTAGGTTACCTGAGAATTCCCTTGGGAACATTCCCAGAGAAGGCTGGCAGCACAGGAACCATGCCAAAGGATCTCATTCTCTCCAGAATTTTAAACTGTAATATAAAGTTATTTCACATTAGTAAGTCTCCAGACTCTGTGTTTTTCTGTTTCCCTGTTCTGACAATCATCCTGGTACCTAGTAACCTAGTACGTAAATCGTAGAAATACTAAAGGGTTCAGTACTTGGAGATAGAGCTGGTTCACGTGCCAAGACTGTGGCAAAGGTCCGCCAAACTTGAACATGTTTCCCATTCGGTTCCAGGCAAGAAAAGCTGGGCCGGAGAAGAACTCTTCAATCTCTGACTGGTTCAAACCCAGAGCACGGTAAACCTGGACGTATGGAAAAAATAGAACCTGATAATCAAAAATCAGTTTCTGGCAGACTTGACAACAACAAACAAGGAGACAACGCGTTTTAATTAGTACTACTGTGATATATTGACAGAAACTGAGGAAACTTCCAGAGAAGAGTTTTCCTCTGACCTCTTGCCACAGAGCTTCCTGTCCAGTGAAAGCCAGTGGCAGGTTGATGCCATTCAGTGCCATCCAGTCGATCTCTCTCTCCCACCTCGGCCAGTCCCACCACACAGAGGAGTAACTGAACGTGCAGACGTTCTGGTAGTAACGGAATCTACAGCAACAAATTATGGTGAGGAGATGTATAGAGATGTCTTTAACTTGTTTTTAATTGCATGATCAGAGGAGAGCCATTGAAGGTTTTTTAAAAGACAGAGTATTTGGAAGGTAAGTACCACTTCTGTGGAAAATGTAGGAAAACACATGATATGATTTTTTCATGTCTAACATGTCTAACAAATCATTCACCTGCCTAAACATTTTAGGCATAAAATTGCATTTTAAGACATTATTAAGGCATTTTTATTTTTTCGCATTTTTTTCACAAAAGTCAGACTATAGGCTGTCTTTTGTGGTAAATGTATGGCATCACATGATGGGTAATTCTAATGAAATATTGGCCTTAAATTCTTGCTGTAATAGAGAATTGTGTTGCATAGGAAGAGGAACATTAGTATGTTTCGCTAGGAACGGAAAAGCCACAACAGCTAAGTAAATTTCTACTCAATTAACCTAAATACACATTATTAAAGTCTATTTTTCTTTAAAAAAAATCAAACATTTTTCTAAATGTTGACTACTACTAGTATTGGTAATGATAATCAATACTGTTGCAAATGATGAGAATTTTAGTCATTTTTCCTCTTTTTTATTATTATTAAATATATAAATTTAATTAGTAATTTGGACAAATTTGGACACATTGTGGTAATTGTCAGAAAATGCAATCAAATGTATAAAAGAATCACTTTCTATATTACTCTTTGGACCACAATAATAGCTTTATTATTGTTGTTATTTTTCTAAAATACAGGTTTTATTATTAAAATGATTGCTGCCATGGTGTACTAATGATTTCATGAGAATGACCTGTTGTGATTTCCCTGTCACAATTTCCCAGTATTCATGGGAAAACCAGACTTTTGCATGTGTGCCATAACTTTTTTCTGTCTAACTACCATGCACATGACATAACTGTGGTGAGCTCAGGCGAGAATAATGCAGAGCAGATAATTAAAGGAAGTGTCCTTCAAACTGGCCCGGCCATAGTCTTTACAAGTGTCCATAGTGCTCCCAGTAAACAAAAACAGATGGCATGCGACAAAGCTCTGCTTGTCATGCACCCATGGTTTTTTAGGTGCCGCCATGAAGAGGAAGGGCCTGGAACATACAGTCCAGGACCACCAGATACTGTACCTCTACTTCTACTACTTTATGAATGTTGTCAGGACTAAAGTATTCCGCTGCAGAAGAGAATGTAAACACAGAGTTCTGTGGTGTGTGGCTGATACTGTGAGAAGACAACACAAACTCATCAGATCCTAAAAAACAACAAGTTTTGCTGACGTCAGTAAAACGGTGCTGATAAGAGTTAACTGCACAAAAGCAGGACACATGATGGTTACAAAGCACTTACTCACTTACTCCTCTGTTTAATTGTACTGAACTCAGAGCCAAATTAGACAACAAAGAAAATGACAGACTCTTGATTGTGATTGCCTGATTAACATTTTAATGGCTCGTTAGTATCACACTCAAAAGAAAGCTGAACTCTCGCTTGCTTCTAGTAGAAAATGGCTTTTGTATAGGGAAATTATTCATGAACTGGAGTGTTGCGTTCACATTTGGAGCAGTAACATGCAACACTATAACGGTCATTCTCATGAAATCAGTACTACACCATGGCAGTAATGATTTTAGGAACAAAAACCTCATGCATGAAACACCAAAGTAGAAGCAGTTATGGAAGGACTTATGAAAGAAAGTGAAAGGATTTTTGTCTGAGTTTGAAGACGTGTGAAGTCTGTCTTACTTTAAAATTATACCAAAAAAATTACAAAAAGTATTCCTAGAGTTCCTAGGATAAAGGTATGAACACTTTTATTTTGGTATAAATGTATCATCTGTATCATGCAGGTAAAAAGTACCAAAATGTTTCACTTCTCATGTAAGATCGTTTTTCAGTTTGTATACTAAAGTGTAATAAAACAAACAAATGACCAACCCAGCACAGGACCCCGGGGTATGTCATATTGCTATTTGTTTTTGTTTTTTTTTTGGGGGGGGGGGGTTGTTGTTTTTTTGTTTGTTTGTTTGTTTTTGTTTTTTAGATTGCGAACTATATTTCATACACATTATTTAAGGGAAATCTTTAAGATAACAGTAACAGTCCAGAATCGTGTCCTTTAAATGTCTGTTGATTACACTTAGACCTATGATGCATCTGTGTCACAGCGGGTCACTGACCTGTGCTGGCTGCTGATGCGCAGAACTCCGCTGAGTTTTGGCAGGGGACTGGGTAGATCCAGCTGGTCTCCGGACCACGAGACATGGCAGCCGCAGAAATACTTCAGGTAGTTGTAAATACCAGTAGCCACAGCCACGCCGGTGCTGCCTGAAGCGAAGACCTTGTTGTTTTTGGTGGACCTGAGCTCACACACTTCCAGACTGTTGTTGGAAAGACTCCGGTTCACAGACACAAAGAATTCCGCTGATCTGTTTCCCAGCAGCCTCTTCAGGAGCTCGGACACCGCTCGAGTCTGAACCTTGTCGCTGGTTCTGGGTTTAATGTGGTCAAGAGTCGGGAATTTGCATTGTGCAGTTAAAAAGAACGACAAAATAAGAAATAAAAACAGACTACAGCTTTTTCTTAGTGGCATGATGTTGCCAACTTTCCCTATCGTTGCAATGATTTACAAACAACCAAATTTCCTCTGATCAAGACAGCCAGGAAGAAACGGGGTAAACTCAAAAGCTTTCGACCAATCAGCGAGCAGGATATCCCGCCCCGCCGTTCTTTCGCCAATCAAAGCCGCAGTTTCTTAACAGTTCCAATATTTTCATAATAAAGCGATTAATTTAGGCCAAAACTATTATATTATATTATATTGGGAGATTTTGACACTTATGAGCAAATTTAAAACATTTCTGTGCAAATCTGTCAGTAAAATCGCAGTCTAAAATTACAGTATTGTCACTTCCTCTACGCTTTCTTATTGTGACTTCCTCATCTTTGTTCCTTATGTGTTATATAACCCTGAAAGGACAATTCCCAATAGCAGATAAGCTCTGATATGCAGTGTCATTTGGTTCTGCTATTTATTATTATGACTACCTAATAGTAACAAAAAAGTTCTTCTTACTCACAGACAGGACCACAGCGTAGAGAACTACCACACACCTTGATAAATTAAAAGGTCAAGTGAAAATCGGGGCAATAATACCTAGAAATACCCATCGGGTAGTAAATGTGTATTTAAAAACTTTATTCTATATTCAAATTAAACATAAAACATCCTCTGAAGCACACACACATATTAAGCTGGACAAACATAAATACTGCATTATAAAAAACGACAACTGCTGGTGTGAACAACAAAGTGCTGGATGGCTTTCAATCCGGTGCAAGATTTTTAAAAATAAAAAAAATCTGATTTTTTTTTTTCTCTTTTGGAATAATAAGCATAAAAGGCAAAAATATCTAAGCTCAAACTTTTGGACATGTGGACATTTTGACCATTGTTTCACAGTGCACAGTTGTTCCTGAGGGTTGCTGTGGTAACTTCATTGTGGTTTGAGTAGGGAAGAAAGAGAAAAAATAAAATGTGTGTGTGTGTATATATATATATATATATATATACACACACACATACTGTATATATATATATACAGTATGTGTGTGTATATATATAAATACATTCACAGACATATACATCTATATATACGCACATACATATTTATACTGTATATATATATATATATATATATATTTTTTAACATTCCTTTGTTGAGGACAGTAACAATGCATCAATGTCATTGAGGATGGCTTTAAACGTCCTGGTTGGATGTGCTTTCTTCTTCCTAAGGCACAGACTGATGACTGAATATTTCCTGAAGATTATTTGAGGAAAAAAGAGACACTTACAAAAGCAGAAGCATTCAATAAAAAAACATTGCACAGGCTATCAGAGCTGTAACAATTTCTTTTAAACAAAGATTTACTTAATTTCCATCCCTCTAGGTTTAAGTCCATTAAGTCCAAAATATTTACAACAACAATTTGTTTGTGGACAGGCAGTAAGCGGAAACGAAGAAAGAAGTTCTGAAGTGATATCACCTTCTGCTTTGGTTTTGTTGCGAGTCTAAACAAGAGTAGTATTTCAAAGGTACCCACTCTTCATCTTTGATAAAATAACTTCTACGTAGCCCTGCAGAGCTGCTGTTCACCGAAGCACATTAACATCATCAGCCAAGTGTCTGACAGTGGAAAAACGAGTTACTGTCATTGTCAGATTAAAGAAAAGCACATAAGAACTCTTGAAAGATTTTTTGTTGTTGTTATTCTTCTGTAAAATACGTAACCTTTTAGAGAAAACTGAAGTACACACTGGAATTTGCTACTTGTATCATCTTGGTCTCATGACCAGTGGCTTTTATCACGTAACTAACAAATCAATGTTAAATATCCCTCAGAACAGCATTTCAAAAATTCACTTTACTGCCTTTGTACGACCTTTTACCTAAAACAAACACAACCTGCTTTTTTTGTTTTAACATCGTACCAAACTCACTAAACTGAGTTTGACCTGGCATTTATTATATATTATATGGATAGCTATTAATAGCTAATAGCTATTAGTTACTGCTACTAGTTACTATTTTATACAACAGGATTTTTGCAGGAGGCCTGTTAATTATACATATATGTATATTTATATATATATATATATCATTAATAAAAAATATTCAGAGTACAATTTTGATTAAAAATAGAGAATATTTCTGTGACAGATTTGCATTAAAGCTCATGTAGGG